ACTTTAATATTGTTATTATTTCCTCGGTTTCCTTGTTATCAGTATGTTTTGAAGAAAAAACTAAACTACAATACAAAACTAATAAAAAAGTGACTTCCCCTGGAGAGATTTCTTTCAATTCCTTCTAAAGGTGGCCATACATCTTACAACCATTGTACAACTTTTTTTGTCCAGACATCTCACCCTCATTCAATCTTCTTACAACTAGCCCATCATGCACAAACCAATGTAGTTTGCAATTAACGCTTGTCAGCACTACTACCCAGACGATTTTCATTGATCGAAAAGGACAGATTTTCGTTTGAGCATGTGCAGTTTTCATCTCGAGATTTTTGTTGTACAACGCCGCCACTAACCTGTCAATTTTCATCCAACTAGATAAAAATATTCTAGCCTGCTTCAAAGACAAACATCTGCCAGTTGTACAGTCAGTTGAGATTGTGCACTTCCCATCAACTGGCAGATATTCGGACGAAAACAATATCGCAGACAAAAATCTCCAGATAATTGTAAGGTGTATGGGCACCTTTAGACTGTGCAGATGACATTTTTATGTTAGGGCATATCTGAAAGAAGGGTGTCAAGGTGTCTGGAGCAATCCTGTGACCAAAGAACTACAACTCAAAGTTGTAGGTTTTTCATGGGCATACTTTTTCCAGGTTAGTAAGGTATTGAAACTAATAGATAAGCATAAAAGACAAGCAACTAGTTTATTATAAAGGTAAGACTACATCTGCTGTTAGTGAAAGGTACCCAAGGAAAAGTAAAATGAGTATTGCAATAAAATATTAAACATTGACATTCATTTGTGTGAGCCAATGAACTGAGCTCTTATAAGTGTTTATACTGCAGTCACAAGAAGCAAACGAGCACTAAGGTTACATATTTTAACTTTTTTTTTTAAATACTAAAAAACGTAAACGTTAAATACTAAATTACTCATCCAGTTAGATATCAATATGGCTGACAAGCACCAGATGTTTGAGTTTACAATATTTTTAAATGTAAATGTGGCTTATAAGCTGACAAGTAGCTGGAACCTCTACTTTAAAACTTGGGATCATTTATTGAAGCTCCTACACCTGTGCAGGATTTTATACAGTCTCTGTGATGATTTTGGTATTCATTGACACCTTTCAAATCAACACTAAAAAAAACTTTCAACTCTGTCCAAGGTACTTCCAGTACTCAACAAGGTGCAATTCATATCATGTTAGCTAGTTAAATACACACATGCAGGTAAACATGCATGGAGGCATGTTAGGCCAATTACCTTGTTCTGATTTCAGCTGAAACTACTACTCCACGTACAAATTAACAGCTCACTTGCTGATTAGCAAAATGCTGTTAAAATACATACTAAAACACAAACCACTAACATCTTAAAATCTCAAAAACCACCAACATCTATAAAAGATACACTAGAATGGTGTTAGTGTAGAAGGAATACCAGTTATACATCCATAGTATGGTAACAAATATATTACATACCAGCATAATTAATGAGAGCTAAAAGCAGTATCACAAGCTCTTTAAAGTAAAACCAGCCAAACAGCTAAATATTAAGTTGAAGTACATGTATGTCAACTAGTTTACCTGCCAATATTTTTGTTATTCTGTACAGTCACAATTATGATTTACACCACCCTGTCAGACAGCCCAGTCAGGACAGTGCAGTGCACTATGCAGATTAACAACACCTTGTGTCACCTGTCTGCTCAATGGATTATGAATACGTGTCATCATTGTGTTAAGGTCCTTTCTGTTTTCCACTCCTCAATTTAGTTGCCAAAACATCTCCCCCATGAACTCCATGGGGCTATTATATAGGGCATTTGTCCAGCGTATAGCTAAGCGAACGATGCTCGCAGTGCATTATTGCCACTAGATGGATCCTAGGACCATAGGAATTCCCCATGCTCCTCGACTTCATCTAGTGGCAGTAATGGGCTGCAAATGTTGTTTGCTCGGCTATATAGTGGGGGAACACGTTATAAACCAGCTCCCAAGTGTCTGAAAATATTAGATTTACAGTACTGTGCAATATAACAAAGCACTGCATGTCTCACATCTCGCAATTTTCTATTTCTGTTATGCATGAGACTGCGAGAAGGTTTCAGGGAATCTTAGCAGGGAGCAGTGACTGACAGTTACTGCTCTGTGCAGGCAGAAGAGACCATGAGCGATCAGAGTCATCAGAGATCACATGACCAAGTGTCCAATGCTGGATCTAAGCTGTAGGGAGAGTATATTTTACTCACCTTGCACTTCTCGTGTAAGCACATTTAAAGGAGAATTATGGGAAATACATGCTTCCCCATAATTAAAGCTGACGTGTGACACTGAAGCTGTCACACCTTGGCTCTATAAATCGAGAATTGAGCGATTACATACCGTTGACCGCTCAGTTCCCGATCTTCTCCCTACAGAGAGCAGTGACTGTCAGTCACCGATACCTGCAAGGATCCCCCCCCCTCTCCGTTACTACAGCGCTGATTGGAGGGATGGACAAGGAAGGGGCAGAGCCAGCTGTCAATCAGGTGGCAGGGTGGATCCTGACAATATTGTCGGAATCTTTCCCGGCCACAGCCCAGCCCTGCGCTGTCAGCATATAGCGGGCAATAGCTATAGAGAACTATGGGCAAAAAAGGTTGGGCCATAGTTCTCTTTTAACAGCACTTTCATGAATACATTAATGGGATATGCATTACATACGAACTAAACCGCATTTATGATTGTTAAAGTAATATTTGTTTTAACATGTTTAGTTGTTTTCACCAAAGATAAACAAAAATTTAAATTAATTTATATTTTTTGCTGCTATACTGAAGAGGTCTATATACACTCATTTACAACTGAAATGGTATTTTATTCCTATTAAAGTGATTTAAGAGCTATCTCAGACAAAGCTGAAAGTGTATCATGGCTCTGAATGGATCAATTTTGTGTGATATCACTAAAAGGCTTTTTTTGCAATACAAATGTCAATACCTAGCCCATAATGCCTTCTCAGGCTATAATTAGGGAAACTGTCCACCATCCATCGTGTGTGTTAGGGCTCTGTCTTACTAAAGGATAATAAAAATTAATTAGCCAATGTACTAAAAGCAGATGACTTATTTTTTGTTTTATCAAAATAGATCTATTTAATACTAGTTTTAAAGGATATTAGTAAAAAGTTGACCATATTTCCAATCTGATCAGCTGCTACTTATAATTTTGGTGTCCTAAAGTTAGATCCTGCCATCATTTCTATAACAAAATATCTAGTTTTACTCAGAAATTTTCCATATTTTAGAGCACTTATTACATGTGTATTTAAAATATTCTAGAAACACCATGTAATCTGATTGTATATTGGCATGTATATGGAGTAACATTGCAAGCTACATCACAGTAGTTCTCTGCAAATGTTCAACTGATTACATATCCTTTATTCCTGAAAAATTGAGTAGTGTACTATTACCAGAAAAACAACATAATTATGCAGGATGCAATATTCTCAGGCCTGAGAACAGCATAACATTGCTACTTTGCTTCATTATAAGGCGAGTGATAACTGCTTTTTACATCTTACACAGCTAAAATTACATTTGCAATTCCCATTAGCACACTAATTGAGGCAGGCATTTATAAGTGAAAAATAAACAAAAATAAAATAGAATTAACATGATCAGTTTTAGGTTACAGGCATCAAGTCAGAATACCTTGACATTTTATGTTTTCTTGTGTTATGATAGAGCTTGATTTGCCAAATATTAGAAACATAAAACCCGAGCTTTAGGCACAACAACTCTCATTTAAAAGTATTCCTCAATAGCCACAAAGGATATAAATCCATTTTGTGTGCATTAAATGCCTGATATTTACCTTGTAGAAGTGGCAGTGACATCATCACTGTGCTGCTTATAGTTTATGCAGACAGCAGAGCTGTGGAAGGGGCCCAGCAGCCCCTCCCACTACAAGCTGTCTACAGGAGGGGGCGTATACAAGACCAGTCACCCTGCACAAGGAGAGAGAGCAGCACTGACTGGTCTTTATAACAGCAAGCTCCTGTAGGAAGGAAAATATTCACGCTAGATTACTTTACAGATCTGGAAGAAATACACAAATAAAATGGGAAAACTTATTTCAAAACCTAAACACAGACCAGATGTGGGATTGTTTTAAAAACACACTACTTACTGCTACTTCAAAGTGTATACCATTAGGGAGCAAAAGCAAAATATCAAAGTCTAAACCAATATGGTTTAATAAATCTGTAAAACAACACGTCAAGGACAAGAGAGCGGCATTTATAAAAGACGGAGGGGACGGCATTGGCGATTACCAAGATTCAAGTAAGAATGCATGTGCCCTTTGTATTTAGACTTTTTTTTACTTCCCAGAGTTCAGCTTTAACTTACATTTTAAGTAACCTAATTGGCAATGGATGGCTTTTCAAGGAGACATGCTGTTGAATGAGCCCCTGAATGCCTGGGCCCAACATCAATATAACAACCCCAATACAGTATTTCCTTTCCCTATTACTTATTATTTTTAAAACTGGCTCACCACAGATGAGACATTCCAATGTAATAGCAGTGGAAGCATGCTCTCTTGTTATTCCTCTTCTACTCTTGAGTATAGACCTCATTTACACTATGGCAGGAATTAGGCAGGTGGTTCTATCCCATGCCAATCACCCTCCAAGAGTTGGTTACAACATATGGGCAGTAGCTGGGTTTCTCCCAGAAAGGTGTAAGCAAGACATTGTTGTCTTTTGAAGACAAACATGTTTTATAAGTGTTTTGTCTTATTTTTCTTTTTGTAAGCTGTAAATATATGAGTGTTTTCAATGTTCAGTTAAATAGACACGTGTAGATTTTCAGTCTATTATTATTATTATTATATTATTAAATAGTTTATTTGTGGACTTAATCAGTGAACAAAATGGGAATTGCAGTACATAATCCAGGCAAGTTAATGCATGCTGATGTCCTCATGCAGCTAATACTCACTCATGGAGCTTTTCCTTTTCTCCAGATCTTCATTCTTTTCATTTGGCATTTGAGGATTTGGTGGTGGTGGTGGTGGTGCTCTTCTTTTCTTTTTCTGCTGTTCCTTTTGAACTGTGGCATAAAGCTGAAATATAGCAAAGGAATTAGTACACACAATATCAATATAGCATTTAAATAAAATGGTACTAAACAGGGGCGTAACTAGAAATCCCAGGGCCCCATAGCAAAATTTACAGCAAAGCAAAGTACAGTTACTGTCATTTACATGGTGCACTAGAGCTGGTAATGGGTCAGGGGCTACTTAGACACATTCCATTCTATGGGAGTCTGGCATCATTCATCATTATTATCTTCTTCCTCAGCAGCAGAACTACATTGTTCAAAGCAGGCAACTGTGACACTTCTTAAATTATTAGTATATTAGATATATACAGTAGATAGGTATACTTATTTAAATAGGTCACTGAATATATCAAGATCAGCTCGTCCACAAATGACCACAGGCAGGTTGTATCCTTAAATCTTCGGGTACTGTGGCCTAAGTGTGATCTTCAGTGACACTGCTTTTGCAATAGGATTCTACAAAAGATTGGCTATACAAACTTATGTCTATCCACAACAACTTCATGATTCACAGCCTGTGGAAGACATTGACTCTTTCAGTAGCTGGCTGCAACCTGATAACATCTTATGCATGCAGTCAAAACAAAAACTGAAATGAATATGTTTTCACTCTGGCCTTGAAAAACCTTAGACTTAAACCTGACATGGAATAGAATTACTTATGAGCTAACTTTTCAGTGCTGTAAAGGCCCAAGGAAATACTCTGTGATTATATTTTAAAAGCACAAAGCCAAAGAAAATAAATATTTTAATTGTCTTTCCTGCTCTACAGGTTTTCCCACGAAACAAAAATAAACAAAACCAGGTCAGTCAACTGTTACTGTCTAAAGAAATCTTAAAATGCAAAGTAAGTAATCACAGAAAAGATAGGTGATGACAATTAGCACTAGGGATGCCCCGATACCGATACTAGTATCGATATTGGTGCTGATACCGAGTATTTGGTCAAGTACTCGTACTCCCCCAAATGCTCCAATGCCTAGCCCGATACTTCTTGTATCAGGAAGCCGGGCAGCACGTCATTACACGCTGCCCGGCTTCCTGATTGGTCGGGAATAAAATGAAACACCACTCGTGAAAGTCCATGTGACAAGGAGTATAATCAATAAAGATGAATCCATCCTGCAACAGTTCTAAATAAACTCTTTAAAAAAGTTCAATCTCTCCACCGATTAATCAAAGTGCTCGGGTGCTCAAACACCTCAGCAGACTAGGACTTACCAAACAACAATGCCTCTCTTTTTACAGATCGGCATATAGTGCTTATTATCCTGTCCTGTCTCTCCTCACTTGTGGAACCCCCCGTATGGTAAACAGCAAAGGAAAGAAAAGAGGCTCCAATAGTGTAAAACCATTATACAAAATTTGATTTTTTTGTATTAAAACACACACTCACGAGAAGCTAAAACAAATCAGCAATTACAAAGTGCCTAAGCCTGTATAATGTATTGTGCCAGAAGGAACCTTAAACTGCGGTCTCGATATCCCCCGATATCTGCGGCGTCAGTTCCGATACGTCCCCTCCAGCACCACCACTGACGTCACTTCCAATTGCGCTTCGACCAACACCCCAACGTTTCGTCTATTCTGGCTTTGTCAAGGTGATGAGAATGGGGAGAACAGCAGTGAGTGAACTGCCGGACGTTCGACTCAGCCGATCCAGATGTTGGATCCGATAAAGGCAAATGTGTTCTTCACTTCAGCTCATCCGAACTGTTCGGATGAACCAAAGTGAAGTGAAGAAAGTCAATGTACAGCTGTTTTCAGCCGTAGAGGGCTGAAGTGAATAGCTGAACGGTGTTCACTTCGGGTTGGTTATTCACTCTGCTGCCTTTGGCAGTTTAGTGAATAACCCCCTAGGACTAGTAGACCTGCACATACCATTATGTATCTTTTCAAGCTCCCCAGTACCTTTGTAATAAAAGGTGGTCAATAAACAAAATATTGATTATTGATCAGCTATATTGTCCATTACATTGAGGGACTAATGCTAAGATGCAAAAAGCAAGACATGGAGTGCGAGAGCATTTGGAGCACATAGGAATATATCTGAAGGTACATACAGGCTCCTCTAGGTGGCTGCTTTTCAGGCATGCTAGCAGGTTAGTACATTTGATGTCTACCTTAAAAAAAGAGAAATAATTTGTCCTGTTCCTAATTGGAATTCAGAAGTGAACACATGTTCACTTGGTTATTCCCACAATGTCTAGTCTTTATTAACCACCTTGTGACTGGAGACATTTTTTTATTTTCCACACAAGTTAAAATCTGCACTTGAAAATTACTTAAAACCCCAAAATATTATATATTTTCTAAAAAAAATTAAAAAATCAGCGGCCCTGTAGAATAAAAAGATGGTAATTAATTTTTTTTTATGCCGCATGATATTTGCATTTGCATTGCACACCTATAATGGAAGTTTGCAGAGGAGATAATGAGTGGACCCTGGAGTTTAACCCCTTTAACCATATGCAGTGTTCACTTCAAAAACTTTGAAGTATGCACAGTGGTAAAACATAGGGGTCTATGCACAAAGCTGCCGAAGGATCTGGCCGTAGCTTCGGCCGAATATACAAGAAGTATTGCCTTGGTACTCCACATGAAAGTAGTAGTATAAATGTAGAATATACTGTATGTAGTAGTGTACTAAAGGTTTGGTAGGCATATTTGCTTACTTGTTTTAGGTCAGTGCCATATATTATTGAAGTCAGACAGTTAGGCATTTAGCATTGTTAACCCCCCCTCCCCCCAGCAAAACCCCCATCAATTGCAGATTCCACACTTATTTCAGTATGGGTTTCCTTTATGCTTACCGGGTTTGCATATGTAAATACAAGGTCAACAGTGAATAGAAACAGGTGTCAAAAAACTTATAGTGTTGAACTTCAGCTAAATATACAGTTGACATACTGTACATACATGTAAAAGGTCTACTCTAACCTATCAAAGAATTTGTAACTTTGTGTAGCCAGTTTTGTGTTCTGCACATGTCTACCAGGGCAGCCAGAACCTTTACAGTTGCTGCACAGCTTAGTGAAACACACACCTCAGCATGCTGATTCGACAATGAAGGAGTAGCAGCACACTGCTATGTCCTACATCTGCCCACTCCTATTTACTCCTATCAGCAACTTCGCTCTCAGCACTTATTCACCAAAGGAAATACTAATTGGCTGCTAGTACTAGGCAATGCACACTTTGAGAGCTGCTATGCAAATGATTACTGAAGGATAATATCAAGACCAAGTTCAAGTACCTTGCATTTAAAAAAATACAAATAATGATTGTTATTAAATACATAATTGCATAACTCAGTCTTTTTTTTTCTATAGCTGCTTTGACTTTGGCTTTAAACTGCCCACAGACAGCCAGGAAGTCTCTTTGGCAGGGTGTCAACAAAAGTTGCAGATTTCCATATATCCATACACATACAATCTTTTCATAATCCAAATGTAATCTTCTGGATTGGGGGAATACCATCCTATGTCTATGGGCAGCTTTAGGCCTTGATTAACAAAAAGCAAAAATAATAGAAAGATCTAGTGTGCTACCTGCTTATCATTGTTACTAACTTTCCTTTACCTTAACTAATATTTATCAGTTACTAGCAAACAGATTAAACAGACAACCTGTTCCTGCAACACATGCCAAAGTACAAACAAAGCACAAAGACTATGTATTTCCATGTAACACACGTATTATTATTTTGGTTAACGTCTGCACTGACTGATTAATGTGAGGATGCGTGGATTGGTCAAATTGATTTTGAATAAGAGCCAGTGCATGGAGGTGTTCTTTCCAAAACTTACGTTTATTGCTGGCTTAATGACATAGATTACTTTCAGGCTCCAGTAGCAAGTTGTATCTCCAAAACTTCCTGAACTTTGCTCCCCCCCACCGCACTCTCTGCAAGCTGCTTTGATTGCTTGGGTTTATACAGCAAAATGCTTGTCAATCTATTGGCAATAAATTCTCAATGTGACTGGATAAAATTCAGTTGGCACAGAGTGGATGAAATGTAGCATGATGAGTCCAATTTGCTTAAGCAGGCTGAAACAGATGGTGCCATCATTATTGTTTAAATAATTTTCTGCACACAGAGCTCCCAATCCCAACAGTGCTATATCTAGTGGCCTTGACTTTGTTCTGAATTAGAGCTATGTTCTATCAACAGTCCAATCTTTGGAACTTTATTGGATGATAGGACCAGGATAAAATAAGCCATGTTTTATCAGGTCTGCTGCCAGAAGCAATTGAAATGAAGATGCACTTAATAAGGGAGAGAGATTGTAATGAAATAGCTGTGCTTCATTCAACTGCTTCCATTTACGTAAAGACTGTTCAGGATTGTAACAAGCATTTGATCAACAAGTTAAAAAAATTACTTTGTTCACCTTGTACCTGTACTGGCTCTTTGGGGTTAATTTACTAAAGGCAAATAGGCTGTTTACCTTGCAAAAGAATTTCCACTTTGCAGTGGAATTTTCCCTATAGCTTAGTGAATATGGTGAAAAATCACTTTGCAAATCACATGCACGTGAAAAAAACCCAAAAAACTGTATTTTTCCTTGCACATGATTAGATGATGGAAGTCAGTAGAGCTTCACCTCTTTTTCGAAGCTAAATTAAGTATCTCTTGTAAAGTGAAAATTTCTTACTTGCCTACAGTAAATAAACCTCTCCAACTGCACTATTAAAGAGTACCTGTATTAAGAGTGAGGTGTAGAGGTTGAAATGAGGTATGAAATAGGGCTGGGTTATACCAGCTTCATTCATTCCTCATTGCTTTGTATAGGGCCTGTTCACACCAACACATTGTGGTGGTGTGGGTTGCGATAAAATGATGTAGGCTTCACAATGTGCTTCAGCATGAGTTGTGTAAAAAAATGGATCATTCAAAAAAAGCAAACAAAACTGCACTGTAATTTTAAGCACACACACATGCCTGATACAAGTGTTGTCTAAGAATGATGCACATACAAACTGTGAATGTAAAAGAAA